ACAAATAACACCCCTGGGAAAAGGCATGGATATTCTAGAATTTCATTGGAGTTAATTACAGACCATCTATATAGATGAGACATACAAGCTCTTGCAGAGGAGACTAAGTGTATTTTTTGTCTTTGTTACAGAAGGAGATTGAGTAATGGTATCGAATCCTGCACTGGTTTCAGGAACTTACTGAAGCAGCCACCTCTTTCCAAGGGATGCAGGCCCTGGCCTTCCCTCTGCCACCTTCCTGCTGTGACTTCCCTGAGCATCTAATTAGGGAATAAATGGCACCCTACTGGGTATAAGTGAGAGTTGGGTGTCATAGGAAACAGTCATGACAACTTTAGTTCCTGGGCTCCAATTCCAGAGTTTTGTGAAGCCTCCCAGGGCCATCTACCCTTCTTCCCGGTGGAATGTGCTTCTCCCAGCTCAGCAGAGCAGGGTGTGTGCTGACGCCCAGGACTCACCATGGTAGATCCCAGCTGAGAGGTCATTACCAAGAGCTCACGACCTCCCAGCTCAAGACAATTAGAGCGCCAGGTCCTGGAAGCTCCCAGAGACATGGCACACTCCCCCAGGGTAGGAACCCACCCAGGATCCAGCGTCTCTTTGAATGCGGGTGTACTGGATTGACACCATGACAGTATAGCCCCTGTCCTTGTTCTTGGTTGTCCAGTGGTGTAAGGCAGACCCCCTTCCTTCTAGAACAGTGACCAACTCAGACTTTGCCTCTGCAGCACAGGGCAATAGGGAAACAGTTACCTGGTCCCATGGACCCAAGGAACTCGGCAGTCCCCAACTCTGCATCCTCTCTGACTGGCCTGGAATTGCCCCTATTCCTCCATTAGACAGCAGTGGTCCAGGCCTTGAGTATCCCAGGTGGGTTCCCTTGGTCAGCTATGATTTTCTTGGCTGTTCAGCCTCCTCCATCCCCCTTTCCTAACAGTTCCCGGTTCCTTTGGGTGAAGGAGCTCTCCCTTCTGGGCGCAAGAGTGAGGGGATGTTAAACACAGTGCTGGGGCAGGCCAGGCCAGCCAGATCTGTTTGGTGGGAGTTGGGCTCTTGAGTGAAGTATCGTGAGGAGTTGTTTGTTTTAAAAAAGAAAAAAAAGATTGGTAAAATTATTAACATCCTTAAGGACACGGCTGCATCATTCCTGGTGCTCAGTGCCTGGAACCACTCTGATTCCTGCCTTTTTCCAGGGCTATTTGCCAGCTCAGTACCCCTGCCTTCCAGCCCTTTCTGTGAGGCACTGTGTATTTCATCATCAAAGTCACTTTTTGTCTAACCTAGATAAATTGGGTCTCTCTCGACCCAATTGATGGCAAAGAGCCTGAATTGATACAAGGGTATTTGTGTTAATCTTAGATTTGTTTATTTATTACTTATGTATTGCATGCAAGGCCAGAAACTTTCTAAGTGAATAATAAATATTAACTTATTAATCTTCACAATAATCCAGAGAGTTACCTCCATTTTACAGATGAAAGAGTGCAGGGGAAGGAAGAATAGCTTGCCCAAGCACACACTGCCAACAAGTAGACACGTGCAGGAGCTGAGCTTCTACCTACATGGGCTACATTCAGAGTCTGTGCTCTTAATTGCTAGCCTATGCTGCCTGTCAGTACAAGTTAGTGTTGCTTACAAGACAAAAATCACTAACTAGCCAATAACAATTCAGTTTGGATGAAAAAATGAAAGGTATGGCAATGATGATGTAGAGCTGTATTTATTGATGTGACAATGTCCATTGTATATTATTAAGTGAAAAAAAAGATAAGCATTTTTTATTTATTAAGATGGTATACCCACTGCCTCCCTACTCCCTGACTCCCAAACACACACACATTACAAAGCCTAGAATCACATTCATCAGAATGTCAACCATGGTGATTCTCCTAACCTGGGGAGGCCCACCAAGCTGTGGGTTTTTTTAGTGCTAGAAATATGAGCTACAATAGCATGGAGCTTTGGAGGGGATACACTGACATGCTCCAGACCACTGAACCCCTGAAAGCTTACCTATATGGCATATCTCTGAATCTTTGCAGCGTTTCTCTCCCACCACCTGCAGTGTTTGTGACTTACTAAGTCATTCAGAATAGTCAACATTTCTCGCTTATCAGGCCCATGAACATACTGTCATCAATATGGTAGGCCAATGTAATGTATTGCAGAGTGTCCAGAAAGGCTATATTGTAACACACAGCAGGATTCACATTGCCCTGGAGCAAGACTGTAAAGATATACTGTTGTCCAATCCTTGAGAATGTGAATTGCTTCTCAACCTACATCCTGCTGGATCCTTTAAAAGTGTCATTTCCATATTAATAGTTTCATATCACTTACTAAGGCTGTGCTAACCTGTTATAATAAAGGCACCACATTTGGCACCACAACTGTAATTGGGGTTACTCTTTGGTTAAGTTTAGAGTAGTTGTTTAGTAGCATGAACTACCTAGCTTTTCCAGAGGGCAGACTGCTGAATTAAAATGGAGGTGTAACTGCCTCCTTCACATCTTTGTAGGTGGCACTAATCTCTATAATTCCCCAAGAATGTGATAATTGCTTTTAACTTACTCTTTTTTCACCATGAAACTTCAGTTTCAGAGCCTTCTGCGTGGTCCTCCCTAAGACAGTCATTGTTATTTCATAGTTTAGGAAACCACAGGTTAAGGAACCAGGTCAGTCAATTGCTATGTATTATGATGTTTGCATGAATGCATATCCTGATTATACATTCAGGAACTGGGGAAATGATTGCTGGGTGGCTCTGTGGATCCAGAGGGCCCATTGTGAGATGGACATTACCTGATCTCCACGTACTCTACTCTAACAGGGGCCATGATAGGGCTTTGGGTCCCCAGGGATTAGCATCAACTCTGACATTGTACTCAACATCCCTTGAAAGATCTGTGTATTTTCCTTTCCCCAACATGTGAGTTACTCGAATAAATGGTCATAGAGCCCTCCCGTGAAAACTTGAGGGAATCAGTGCTGTGCACATTAACAAGGTTCTTCTTTATGAGAAACTGCCCTCATTTCTATCAGTGGGTTCTGGATTCCATTGAGAACTGGCTGAGGTTCGGAAGCTGGGCAAGGGGTCTAGACTTTACCTTTAGAGAGCCGACCTCGGCATTCTGCTCATCGATTTTCAATTTTTTTAATAATATATCTAAAGCAATATCCTTGTCAGCTGCCCATCTGTCTTGCCTGTAGGAAGAGCATATCCATGCATGTCTGCCTTCATAGATACCTACAGGCCAGGCCTCTCAGCTGTCACTCTAACGTTGATGACCCTTAGGGAAATTACTTTATCTTGTCCTCACAGTTAAATGCCGCCACTTGGCCTCTGTTATTCTGGAATTCTATCATGTTGCTCACTACTGGGGGATCCAGTTCTATAAAACATCCCTAGCATTATTCCAGCCTGCAGGGGACAGCCACCTTTGAGCTTGTCAAGGATGTGCTGCCCCCTCAGCAGTGCATTCCTTCTCACCTTAGTTAGTGTCTGAGACACCTTAGTAGTGTCGCCCTTTGGAGGAACTCGGTCGCCTGATGGATGGATTCTCCAGTTGTAGAGCACAGAGTCATTCTAGCACACCAACTTCTATATCCTTGGGACCCCCTTTCCCAGACTCTGCCACAGTAGTCCTGGTATCTCTGCTTCCACTTGATTTAATGTATAGCATAGCTTATACTAAGTCTCTGGGAGCCACCCAGGAGTATATCAGAATTGTTACCTTTGGCCCATGCCAGGCTAGTTAAACTCTGTGGTAGAGAAGCTTGCCCTTTTGTCAATAATTCTCACTTATCTGGTTTCACATTTCGCCCTTCCTGGACCAGGATCCACTCCCAGACACAATCTCCTCACTCCTGCTGATGCAGCTGACCAGTCCTACAGCTCCTTCGGCGGATGAACGCTCCCTTCACTTTGTCGCCCTACCCAGGACTCTTCACTTGCATCGTCCTGAGTGGTCCCTATATAGTCTTCATTCTAGAAAAATCGGGAGTTGGGTGGGGGTGGTAGCTCTCTCTTCCAACAAGGGGCAAGAGGACTTTTCTGTAGGCCCAGTGAGTTCAGGGGGCATCTGGAGTTAAAGTTCTCAGGTACATCTACCTAAATAGCCCCATGCTGAGTTTCAAGGCCTTGACATTGGAATGAGAGACCACCCTGAGCTTAGAATTCAGTATTCTCTGAAGTCTGGCTCTTTGTAAAATAAGGGCCTGTAATAGGCCTTCCTTGCTGTCTGCCTTCCAGCTGTAGGGTCTCTTCTCTTTAGGCTGGTGATGACTAGATCTAAACCTGTCATTTACTCTTCTCAGGACATTAATGACCCTTAGCAATAGACACCAAAACCCATACTTCTATAGTTACTTTTCCTCACTTCTTAAATGCTAGACAATTATACCAGCTATTTTACCTCTTGACCTGTAGCTCATCCAATTTACTACAGGTGAAAATTTGGACAACTGCTCAGTGATAGCACTTCTGGGACTATCCATATTCCACCCAGCACCATTGGGCTAGACAGTGATCCAACTCCAGAATCCTGTCCTCAGAGCTTACTTCCTGGGGCCATTACCTTAGGTTGCATTCCCCAGAAGCACATTCTGGGACGAAGTCCCTTAAGCAAGAGATTTATGGTGAGCGTTCACTCAGAAAGGAGCAGGGGAAGCAGCATCGTGTGTCCAAAAGCTCTGTGTAGCCTCACAGAGTAGCCGCACACCACATCCTTGGTCCTGCTTTGAGGCAAGGGGGACGGCCTCAGACCATGGGGTGTCACTTCCAGGCAAAGCTGGTTCCACTTGACCCAGGGTGATATTCTGGGGACTGCTGGCATTAGCAGCTGCCACTCAGCAGCTGGGGATGAAAAGACCTGGCCAGAAGAGGAGATGGTGCCAGGATGCCAACAGCTTTGCAAGGGAGCGAAAGATGGCTTTCCTCTACCCTGCTAGATTCTTTGGCTGAGCTACGAATGAATTAAATTGACAAAAGCAGATTAACAGGAAGAAAATTTTTTTAATAATATATTTATGCATAGGAGACTCATGAAATATGAGACTCCAAGAAGAGTCTCATACACCATACACCATCCTGAGCTATGAAAAAGAACGGGGGCTTGGGGCTTCTACATGGAGGTGGCCACGGAAGTGGGAGAGTGAAGGGAAGAAGAGTCTCCTGAATAAAGCTTGGCTGGTTTTCAGATAAAAGGTCTTCCAGGTAATAAATGTTGTCTGGAGCAGCCCTCAGGAGGAGAGGTGAGAGTCTGTATGGGATGGTGTCAACTCCAATATCCTCCCCTGTGATCGCACTTACTCTTCCCTGACTGATGAGATACTCAGGGTTGTGATTCATGATGATTGAATTTCCTTTTGAGGATTTGTCTTTGGGCAGATGAGGGAGGCTCAGAGAAAAGCCCCTCTCTGCATGTGCTGTGCTCAAGTGACCTTATTTTTTGTAAGTGGTAAACCAGTGGCATATTTTGGGGTGTTATTTGCTGAATGCCTTCAGCATCCACTAATCCAGTCAATTGTTCCCATTTGTTTCCTGAATAGCAAACACTTCCTTGAAATTCTTCTCAAACTCAGCCTCCAGTCTAAGTCCCATTTGGCCAAAATCCTTGTACTGAAAAAATAATAAAGACAAAAACAATGCTTCTCATCATTAGCGTCGTCAGACAACTTTCAACTGAGAATTATCAGGACTCTAGTCTTTAAAACAAAAAAAAGGACTATAAGTCCACAATTTATAATGGTATATATTTTGGAGTACAAAGTAATGTTGTGATTTATGACTGCTATGTGGAATAATTAAATCAAACTAATTAACATATTCATCACCTCAAATAGTTATCATTTTGTTTCAGTGAGTACATTTGAAATTTACTCTCTGAACAATGTTGAAGTGTGAAATACACTATTGTTAAGTAGAACTCTTATCTTAAACACCCTAAGTTACATTAACCAGGTTAAACTTGAAAACTCATGCAACTAACAGTAACTTCTGTTTCTCACCAGCATGATCCTTTCTTATTAACAGGGCAGAAAAGTGAAATCATTTCTACAGTTGGGATATTTATTTATTGGCTTTGGTTGCTTATTTCAGTGGGTTAGAAAAGTAATCTATGCTCTTTCAACAATTCAGATAGTGGAAGGGTATAAGGTAAGATTGCTAATCTGTTCCTTTCTCTGTCACTTCTACTCCTTGCTGCTAATCCGTGTTAACCATACGGTCTCTTCACATGTAAAGGAATCTGGAGTTTGGGATTTCTGGGATTGGGGGCAGATAAGAAGCACAATATCACTTTAAGATGAAATTCTCTTCTCTTTATATGCTGCAGCAGGCAGGACTCAATTGCTCTCTCTGAGCTCCTGTCTCCTCTGGGGCAGGTAGGGGAGGAGCTCTCAAGGACCTGGGGTTCTGGTTGCAGGGACACCTTTTGACTCACTGTTTCTTTGCTAAGAAGAGCTTAAGTTCTGAACTGAAAACAATCAATCACTTCCAGAACCCTTGCTTGTGCAAGCTTATTACAGGATGAGGGAAACTAAATTTTTCAAGGCACCAGAAAATGAGGGGAAGGATGGAAAGAAATGAAATGGAAGCAGGAAGAGCCACCTACCTTGTAAGAGGCCCTGTGGTTCTGGAAGATGAGGCGCATGTCTTGTACAAACCCCTCCACTTGGGGGTAACTGTGCTCATTCAGCCTTTTCTTGATTTTATCCAACCACATGGGCTCCTTCAGGCCTTGACACGTCCCTCTAATCTGGTGACAAAAAAAACAACAGAAAATCTACCAGTATAGTTCAATGTCTGCTTTCTGTGGATTCCCATAAAATCCAGCAGAAATACAACAAGGTGAAGGTTGTAAAGACGGCGTGTGCTCTTGCCCCATGGGATTAAGATCACAAATCTCACGAGGGCCCATTTCAGGGTCAGGTAATGTCATGGCAGCCTGTAATCATGGGTTGCTGTTTTTACTTACATAATAATAGTATGGAATCTTGGCAAAAAAGGAGCTCTCAGAACAGCAATAGACTTTCAAGAGGAGGAACTCACATTTCTGCAAAAGAAAGAGGCTGTAAATGAAAAGCAGCTTGGAGAGAATGAGCCCACATGCATGAGACGGAGCACACGACTCACACCCTTCTTCCACAAGTTTCTCTAACATGTGTGGCTCTTGGAAACAGACATGTCATGGCTGAGTTATTTTTTGTGCAAACAAATTGGGGTGTTCTATCAGTGTGATTGAAGTGTGGCTCGGAAGAGCAGGCTCCTTTTGTGAATTCCCCTGACCCTGCGCTTGTTCATGGTGCTCACGTGTGAGGGGAAAGGAGAAGGCTTGGGGTTTGCATCTGACTTACCAACTGTTCCTGCGGACACATCTGCCTCTCCAGGACCTCAGATTCCTGACAACACTGTTGGCTTCCTGAAGATTCCTTCATCCTGCAGAAGATGCAACTCCACGGGGTCCTGAGAGATTGGACATGGGTGAGCAGAGGGCAGGGACCCTGGAAACGGCCACCGTTCCTGTGGCTGCCACTGTCTTCCTTCAGGAATGGCCAATGGCCTCAGCCACGGGAGGGAGGAGAACACCTCCCAGAGTATGCAGGATTCACACATGGGATCTCCAGCCATTGGCCTTTCCCTCGCATCAGTGGTAGCAGCAGGCAGGAATCCTCTCGGAAGGTGGTGTCACCATGAGTGTGGACTCTCCTTTTCCTGTCTGAGCTGCTGGGAGCACAAGCAGCCCTGCCTGCCAGGCCTGAGTTTCAGAAACTGGGCTTTCAGCTCCAGGGACCTCAGGCCTCCATCAGCCCAATGAGACTGTGCTTCCTGTCTTGCATGAATAAGCACAAAATATAAACAACTGGTGCTTCTTGTCTCCAACCCACCCTGCTGCAAAACTTGAAGGAAAGGACAAGGCCAGTATGTAGGCAAAGGGTCCCCAGCACTGGCCTCAGCATATCAGAGGCGGGTCCCTGAGAGCACAGAGAACATGAACCTCCTGCTGCCAGCGTCTCCCGCGGCTCTCTGAACACACTGCTGGGTCCCAGTACCCGACGAACCTGCTCCTTCCCCATCTAGACACAAGTGGGCGCTCTGCTGGAGAGGGCGCATGGCAGGCGGAAGGTCCCTTAAAGGAGGAAGGAGAGGCGCCTGCATGTCACTCACCTCTCAGTTTCCACAGGCGCGATGTGACAGTCCTCATGGAAGACTCTTGAACAAGTGTCACAACAGAACAGCTCCCCTCCGTCCCGGCACACCTCACACTCATCCAAGTTTCTCATCTAGAAGGTAAAACAGCGTCCACGTCACTGGGAACTGCAAGATTCAGGAAGGCCACCCCTCTGGGCATCTAGAACACACTGCCTTGTGTGAGTCTGTGTGGACAGGCGTATGCTTCTCCCTGGGATATGAAGGAAAAGCATGGCAGGGAGATTTCAGAGCAAATCCTGGTCTGCAGTGAAGTTCAGGAGGCAGGGGTATGTGTCAGAATAAAAACGTTTTCCTTATAAAACCAGAGTTTGTAATGCAGAAAGACTAGCAACAAAGCAAGATGGTGATTTTATAGGAATCTGAATAATTGTATTATGCTGCAGATAAAACCAGGTTTTCAAATAAAGTGTTAAATCCATTTGCCTATACCACAAATCAACTGGTGAAAAGGAGACTCAGAGAATTACATATGAGAGAATAAGCTTCTGAGATATCATCACATGCCATATTCTTGGCCATAAGTTCCCCATGAGTTGAAGAGAGGGCCTAGTTAGGGGTTCCTAGACTGTAGGTTTTGCGCCTGGAGGGCTCTACGCCGACCTCTGAGGGGGAAGGACCGTGGGTACAGATGACCATGTGGACCACAGGGAGCACAGAGCTCTTCAGCGCTGGGAGCCTGGCAGATGATCTCCCATGACTTAGCTAACCTGAATTGTAAGGTGCGAAGGTGCCATCTCCAATGGCCAAGGACAGTGGTAACAGCACCATACAGTGTTGAAGATGGAGGCCCTCTCCTCATTTCCTGGGCCCATAAAAGAGCTGGTGCTTTGTTCTATAAAAAGAATGGGAAATCAACTAATTCTCTATTTCCCACCAGTCTCAATATATGAGACCTTCAGCCAGATTTAATTTGATTTGGGGAAGTTAAAATATGATAGTATTTGCATTCATGTGTTGTGGAGCAAATCCCAGTCATTAAAAACCAACAGAATTTATAGAGCAAATATAGAGACCAATACGTAGAGGCTGTATTGTAGACAAATGCATGTGTATTCATGACAAAGAACCGGTCTGTGACTGAGCCCTTTGTCGTTCAAGGGAAAAGTGCTGTGAGGACTAAAATTAGAGTTCAATATTATGTGCAGCCTGGACATCTGGTAACACTGGGAGGGCCTAGAATGGTCTATCTACAAGTTCTCCCCCGCCTCTGCTCCTGCAGGTAAGGTTTCCTACCAACACTTCTGATCAAGAGGACGGCTTGCACCTTCTGCTTATTTTTGAATAGCTGATTTCAATTCCCTGCCAACCATGGAATTATTCAAGCCAGCCAATCACACTCTCCCTCTGGAAGCAGGGGACAGCCCACCCTCCACAGCCACTGACTGTTTCCTCTGTTCCTGAGCGCAGCCCCCATGTGGCCCTGTGTGGTGTGGGATGCCTGCCCTCCCCCACCGGGCTACTGAGTAAATGTGACTCATAAACTGCTGTCAATCTCATCTGTCCAGTGTCAGATGTTGTGTGTTCTGCCATCTCCAAAACCCTAGGGTGGGAATGAAGTACCAAACGTTTAAATATGTCAAATCCTTAATCTTTAAAAAAAAAAACTATTATTTCAATAGTTTTGGGGGAACAGGTGGTTTTTGGTTACATGGATAATTTTTTTAGTGGTGGTTTTTGAGATTTTGGTGCACTCATCACAAGAACAGTGTACACTGTACCCAATGTGTAGTCTTTTACCCCTCACCCTCCTTCCACCCTTCCCTCTCAGTCCCCAAGGCCCGTTGTATCATCCTTATGTCTTTGCATCCTCATAGCCTAGCTCCAACTTATAGGTGAGAACATACGTTGTTTGGTTTTCCATTCCTGAGTTATTTCACTTAGAATAATGGTCTCCAACTCCATCCAGGTTGATGTGAATGTCATTATTGCATTCCTTTTTATACCTGAGTAGTATTCCATGGTGTGTGTGTGTGTGTGTGTGTGTGTGTATAAACATCCATGTGCAAGTGTCTTTTTCATATAATGAGTTTTTTTTCTGCTAGGTAGATACCCAGTAGTGTTACAGAATCCTTGGGGTATTGCTTTTTCTTGCTAGAAACCTCTGTAGCCAGTGGCGCCTTTGCCTGAGTTTTGCTTGGGCCCACTGGGCTGCTTCCACCCACTTGGCCTGGCAGGCTGCACTTGGTTCAGGCTACTGGCCTGGATCCCACACCTACCAAGGGCCTGCCATGGGGCAGGTCAGGCATGGAGCAGGGAGGGGTGTGTGAGCAAGCAGGGGGGCCAGCCACTGCACACAGTCAGACATGCCCTGCTGTTGCATAAGGGCAGACAACTCCAGGTGCTGGCATGAGCACTGGCTCTCTGCGAGGCTGTGTCTGGGCCAGGCACACTGCAAGCAGCTTCCATGGCTGGCACCATGGAATGTGGTGGCACCTGGAAGCTTGAAGATGCCAGGAACCACAGAGCCTTCAAAAGGGAGTCACAGCCCTGGCTCAGGGAGCTTCCAGGTCTGGTGTCCCCAAATGGCTGCAGCTCTTCTCTCCTCTTCACCCACAACGTGGTAATCAAGGGGCATGTTTCAGCCCTGTTTGTGTTACAGCTCTTTAGCCTCGCCATTCAGCAGATCCCAAGTTCTTTTGTCCTGCGACCAGGAAGAACAAGGGACACAGACAAGTGGAGGGTGAGCAAGACGAAGAGGAGCTTTACTGAGCAGTAGAACAGCTGAGACCCACTGTGGGTAGCTTCTTTCTGCAGCCAGGGTTTCCTGATGAGTGTTCGGCCCTCAGCAGAAAGGAGGAGGTCCTGGGGTAGGTGACTTCTCTCTGCTGGCAGGTAGTCCCTGAAGTGCAAAGCTCCTCTCTGCTGCTGGGTGTCCAGGATGTTCTCTCCAAGTCTGACTGAGTCTAGAGCTTTTATGAGCTTCAGAGGGAAGTGTATGCTGATTGGTCCATAGGTGACCATGAGCAGACCTTTGAAAGGCATTGCAAGTTCCCACTCTGGTCCACAGGATTGGCAGCCCAGTTCCCAGCCTTCAGGCCCTCCCTTGCCTGAAGGTGGTGCCTCACCAGGAACCTGCCCCTTCCCACCCAGGAGCCTGTCTGCCTTCCCCCGCCACCCATGGTGCCCAGGCCCTTTGCCCCAAGGGGCACTTGCAGGCCAGTGCTGAGCTGGCCCCAGCCCATTCTTGGCCTCTCTCCTATGCTTGTCAGCACTCAAAATCCAGAGGGGTGCAGGCGGCAGGGGCCTGGTGTGTCAGCTCTGCCCCAAGCATGTACACACCTGACTGGGCTGCAACCACACCTGGGCTCAGCCCCAACCCCGCTCCAAGATTGCAGCGGGTGCCGGGAGCAGGGAGAGGTCAGGCAGCAGAAGCAGACACACCCTAGCCTGCCATGGCAGAAGGAGGATGGCCTCCTGGGCCCCCAAGAGCACTGGGAGGCCCAGGCCTACAGCTGCGACCTGGGCACCTGCAGTTGTGCCTGGCAAGCTCCTGCCCTGCCAATTCGGGAGGCAGGGCTCCTGCTTGTCCCTGGCTCTGCAGTGTGGCAGCCTCAGCCATGCCCCCTCTCTGTGTCTCCTGCAGCAGTTGTGGATGAGGTGCAGGTGGCACAGTGCCCAGCCAACCTCACGCAAAGGAACCTGACACTCAGGGGCCAGTTCTGTGAGTCCTGGCTGCACCTTTGGCCAGGTGCTTGCAGGTTCCTAGGACACAGCGGGGAGAGAGGTCCAGGCTGTGATAGAGGCTCTGGGCTTGGGAGCAGGTCCTGCTGGCCATGTGAGGGGTGAGGGTGACACAGTGAGCTGCCTCAGGGCACAGGGGATCCACTGCCGCCACTGCTGCTCCTGCAGCCATTCCTGCTGCCCTGTCTACCTCCTTGCAGCCTGGGTTGGGGGCTCCCGCCCTTGCCAGTCCCAGGCCAGGGTCTGGGGCAGGGGTGATGTTGCCTCAAGTTCCTCCTGTGGCCCCAAGGGTCAGGGACGACTTGGGGCACCCCCTCTCCTGGCTCGTGACCCTGCCGGGGGAAACCTCCAGGAGCGGATTGCCTCCCGTCTTGGCTGCTGAAAGCACCAGTCACAGCGGTCACTCTAACTCGGGGCAGATCCTAGGGACACAGCCTCTGGCGGCCCTTTGTTTAGCCTTCTGTGAGGGGCAGGAACCTGGCACTGAGGGCAGAGTGGGTGCGGGGGCCACGTTGCTGGCTGGGTCCTGGAAGTGGGCACCACTTCCACTTCCCACCCTGGCCCCTGAAGCATGGCCACTGCTCTGCATTGGGGGCCGACCTCCACACTACCTGTGCAAGTGCCAAACCACCACTGGCCCAGCTCCGCCTTGGGGCCTCTCTCTGCTCACCCCTCCCTGCCTGACCACTCCCTATGGGCAGCTGGGCCTAGCCCCATTGCAGCGACTCCCAGAGGTGGGCTCCAAGGGCGAATGGCTCTGGGGATCACCTGCCTCTGTGTCTGAACGGGAGGACCCATGGCCTGTGCCTGCACCTCACTGCAGCCAGCTTCATGGCAGCAGCCACTTCAGACTGCCCGCCACTGCCATCAGTAGTGGGACTGCTGGATCAAACGGTAGATCTACTCATACTTCTTTAAGGAACCTCTGTACTGTTTCCGTAGTGGCTGTACTAGTTTACATTCCCACCAGACGTGTAAAAGTGTTCTGTTTTCACTACATCCATGCCAACACCTATTGTTTTTGATTTTTTAATTATGGCCATTCTTGTAGGAGTAAGGTGGTATTGCATTGCGGGTTTGATTTGCATTTCCCTGATCATTAGTGATGTTGAGCATTTTTTCATGTTGTTTGGCCACTTCTCTATCTTCTTTTGAGAATTGTCTATTCATGTCCTTAGCCCACTTTTTGATGGGATTATTTGATTTTTTTCTTGTTGACTGCTTTGAGTTCCTTGTAGATTCTGGATATTAGTCCTCCGTCGGATGCATAGTTTGCAAATATTTTCTCCCACTCTATGGGTTGTCTGTTTATTCTGTTGATTATTTCTTTTTCTGTATGGAAGCTTTTTAGTTTAATTAAGTCTCATCTATTTATCTTTGTTTTTCTTGC